CTTGACCAGAAATAAAGGCTGATGATAACTAACTGGATGTGACTGATTTTAAATGTCAGATGGAAACTGAACTCAGTTAAAAATAAAATTCAAAACTTAATGTGATAAATAAGTGGAACCTTGCAGTTGGGGGGTTCTCTGCCTGTTGCTTTGTGCCATCTCAGTGCGTGCATTTTCCTTTCCTTCCCTTTTTTAGCCTCGCTGCTGCTTCTGCTGGTGGTAAACTGTTGCAGGGTGAGGAGGGGAAAAAGAAATGGCATGAAAGCCTTAGTGTTAAAGTGACAACATCTGGGCCAATTGACTATGTGCGGTTTGGGATTCTTCTCCTCTGAAGATGTCTATTTGTGTATTGCATTTTGGTTTGAGTTGCCTTATAGCTACTGGTAGGGAATGGTGAGGCAGGGCATGTGAACAGAGATACCGGCCTTCTCCTGGCCCACAAAAAAGCCAAGTCTACGTGACTACCCTGAGGGACTCAGCTGTTCTCTCATACGAGGCATCACAAAGTGGCAGAAGTTCAAACAGTTGCTGTTTCACCACTGTTGTCCAGGTACATGGAAGCAGGATGATAGGCACAGGCCCCCTGCCATGATTTATGGATCTAATGGTGAATTTAATTTGAAAGCGCTGTGTGGGAAGATCAAGGAGAATGCGTTGTGGCTGTCCTAAGCTAGCAAGCCAGGTAGGCAGTGTGGCGTTCCCCAGGCCCTGTTGCACGGTCAGCCTTAGGCTGCCTCATGGTAAGAGTTTTGTGTGGATACCAGTCCACGGAGACTGCGCTGTCAAGAATGGTGCTGTACTCTGAAGGTGTTGAGGAGGAAGGTGGAGTATGACCCACTGCTTTATACCACAGAGACATAGTGGAAATCCCTTCCTTTTTCTTTCTGACTGCTGATGAAAGAAAAAATTTCTTCTCCATCTTCTTGTAGAAAATGTTTTTAGGCCATGTACACTCTTTATAGAGTGTATTCTGGAAGCCCTGCGCTACTGCCTGTTGAGAGAGCTGACTTGCCAGGTGTCTGGGGGAACGGGAGACGTGACTCTTACAGCAGCCGTTCTGGGTTTGATCCAGATTAGAGGAAGGATGTGGAAAATGCCTGACTGTGTGTTCTCTGGCTTGGCAGAAGGATCCTCCTGTCACAACAAGAAGAAAGTTTAAAAGAAAAAAGAAAAAAAAGTCAGGAAATCAATTGAGGCTAAATCTCTGCTTTACTTTTAGGGGAGATTTGCTTCTCAGGGCTGGCTGCAGAAGTTTATCTGCATTTTTGTAGCTATCCAATAGGATACAGGATTTTACTGTTGCTGAGGCTTTTTTGAAAAGAACCTGCTTGCTCCTTAGTAGTGTTGCGAGGAGGATGGTCGCGTGCATTGGGCAGCAGCTCCCCTTGCGGTGGGTTGGAACCAGGTGTTGACCTGCATCGGTTGGAAGTGCATTGAGGGCTGGGCGTTTAAGGTGCCGTCATCCTTTCCGTGTCTTCTCGGGACGCGTGCAGAGAAGCAATGAGCTGGTGTTGGGAGGAGCAGTGACGCTGGGTACACCTGGAGTTGCTGGAGCAGGCACAAGTGGTTTTGGTGCTTTCTGTTGAGTTACCTAACTTTGGCTTGTTGAGGCAGGCTGTGACAGGGCGCTGAGCCGATGGCCAGTCCTGCTGCTGTCATTAGCTCGCTCAGCAGTCCCTGTGTCCTGGAAGAGTTGCTGAAAGAAGTAATTGCTCCTGAGTAATTGCTAATTACCGTTCCTTTTTAGTCTTCTTTCGTCTCTCCGGTGTTTTGGTGGCACCAAAGCAGATTTCGTAGGATGATTTGGCTGTGAAGTCATGAGGCAGCCATGCCCAGTATAGAGAAGCTGAAAAATAAATGAGCGATTCTTTCCCAGGAGGGTAAAAGGCGTTCTGATTATGTAAACTAAAGAAGGAAATATGTTTTAAGGTGTGTGTGCTTTTATATGTTAAGAAAAATAGCTGATATGACATGGTACGATATAATGTGTATTAAACAGCATGTTTTAAAAATCAGCGATGTGAGTAATTTTATTCCTCCAAGACTATGAATTGGAAGCTGTTTTTCTGCGGTTTGTTCTGAAGGAATTCTCTTGTTCGGCGTTATCATCGAATCGAGAAAGTGTGTGTCGATCTGAGGGGTAACAAACACCATGCAGTTACCTGGCCCTGCCCTGCACAGGGGGCTCTCCCCCTCCTCTTTTCTGTTGAAAATGCTGGGATTTTAGTGTCTGTGTTGAACACAAACACAGCTGTTTATCCTGACTTTGTTTTTAACCCTAGAGAAAAGGGATACCCAGGGCATAGGCCTCTCTAAAGATCTGCCAGTTTTATCCTCCCATCCTGTTCTCTTGCCTGACATTGGGGAATTGGTCATGAGTTTCTTTTTCCAGAGTCTCGAGTGATTCTAACAACCCACATCCTCCAGTCAAATCCTGTAAATAATTTTCTTAACTAAGTTTACAGCTTATGAGTATCACCCATACTCTCAGAGTAAACCCAAAAAGCTAACCAGCCAACCACGACATCTGTATTCTCCAGCGAAGACCTAGAACCTGATCGCTGGTTGGGGGCAGCTGGGTCCTTCACCTAAAGGCCCAGAGAGGATTGCCAGCACCCCAGTTAGAACAGCTTCACTTGGGCTCTGGTCGTCATCACTGGAAACATAGGAGGCGTGTTGTTAGACCAGGCCACTGCGACTGTGGCCGCCTTATGCCTGTGGCAGTGGGATCGCTTGCGGTCACCTCTCTGTATCCTGGGACACAGCAATACTGCAGCTGCTCGTATCAGCTTCCTGGGCCTTGTGGTTAAAATATGTGAACAGAGGTGGAAGAGAGATGGCTGGGAAGCCTGGGGCGCAGCCTGTTCAAACTGCTGTTTCAATTGCTAGCAAGTGTTTATTTATTGGAGCTGGT